AGTTGGACAAGATTGGCTACGAATTAGTCCTGCGAACATCCTACTCGGTAGACCTTTTGCCTATAATTTGTCACTTTCTCGACTACCTGGATAGCTTCTCCAAAGAGTTATGCTTCAAAAACCAACATGATGCGGAAACGACCTCCGCCGGGTTCATCGTCTCTAGAGCTCCAGTATTCTGCACTACCGGGCTGATTCAACGCAGCTATTATTGGCAGAGGTTTGTGGATTCTAACAGTCTTTACTCCAATCAAAAAGGTTTCGAATGAGCCGAGATACAGGCATTTGAAAATCAAGGTCCAAAAGCGCAAGAACTTTCTTCACGACCTAATATATGCTAAGACAACTTTACGCATCAAAAATTGCTAAAATATTTCTGTGACATTCATGTTTTTGTTCATTTACAAATACAAAATCCACGGAATTTGAGGTGAGGCGGCGGCGCTCACAAAATCGCGTTCGTCCCACGCGACCGAAAAGTGGAAAAGGGGCCGTCGTGAATGTGTTCAATAATAATAGTAATTATAGTGATAAATAAATAAGTGTTATGAAGAATGGAAAAAAAATTGAAAACAAGAATGGAATAGTATTAGTTTGACGAAAAATGGCGTTTTATTCACCTTCTAAATTGATTCAAACAGTTTGAGTCGAACACATATAGAAAGTATCTTTTTGTGCTGCAGTAAGTAATAACCAACGAATAAATAAATATTTTGTAAATCTTCCTGCTCCACTTACCTGATCATCTGACACTTCTACACAACGTATTGAAAACGGAGGCTCGAGGTAGGAGAAACCCAGCAAAGGTGGACGTGAGCAGCTCGTAACGAACTTAATCAGGAGAGAAATTTAGTCGTATTGTAGCATAAAAGGGAAAGGGTCCAACATGAAATCTAGCACTACTTCACCTTAAGAAATAGTCTTCGCTCATCTGCTGTGAAATCTTTTTCCACAATCTCCCATAACCACTTGATCAGTCGATGACTTCCATGAAATCCGCCGTAATACTGCACATGCTTTTTCAGATCCACCAAGTCGATATCACTGTAAAAAAAAAGGTACATTCTATCTTGTTTCACTGCGGATTCTATTTTACTACTAAATAAAGGATTTTGATTGCATTATGCTCCCGCAAAGTTACTTGAATGGATGATGGCGGTAATTCACCAAGTATTGCCACTTGAATACTATAAAATTTATCGAGTTTAACATGTGATGCGCAAAAAAATTGAAAAACAGTAACACAACGATTGCCTACCTAGAGTATCCACTTATGATGAATTGCAGCTCATATGGAGCAAAAAGGAAGAGCCATGCGGGGTTCAGAACCGATTGAGCACCAGAAACAAACGCTCGACATTGTTGTTTTGTTTGCGAGAACACACGATGATGTGCCATTCGATGTACATAATCGATCCTATAACGTAGTTGGCATTTATTCAACAAAAAATCGGTAAAACGAGATATGATGCAGAATGGGAAATACAAAATCTGATGAGTGAATCTCTCTGATGAAAATGAAAAGCGATTTAAATTGGATAAATAGGTATAAAACAAGAGAACGCGAGAGTAATGCGATAAAACAAGAAGTTTGAGCCCAATATTTTTCGCTTCCAGGTAACCGAATGTTATTTCTCTCCTAGCAACTATGTCTAGATCTCGCTTTTTTTTTCTATTTCTTCAAAAATGCCAATAACCAAATAATTAGAGGTGGTCTCACTTGTTCTCATTAGTGACTTGAATCGTCCTGCCACCAGGCACCAGATCGACTGTGTTTATCTAAACGGCACCGGAACATGAAATAATACTTTCTCCGCCAAGCTAACAAGTAATGATTGGAAATTACCTTGCCCATAAAATCCTCGTCTATAGAAAATGTCAAGGATAGATCGCTAACATCACCATCGTACTTCTTCACAAAGGTAAGATTACGGTAAAGTTCGGGATCCAATTGTGACAGTTCATCGAAAGCACAAAGACGTCGTCCACCCAACATCTGTCACATTGTGTTATTACCTACATATTACGCACGGCGCGAACAAATAAAAAACATTCTGAGCTACCACGCACCGCTGCAAGCAGAACGGGCGCTAGCTGAACATCAACAACAATTCCCTCATATACTGCCTTGGCCAAGATTCTTCCTACAAACTGAAACAGTGCCAAGATGGTCCTCATGCACACTTGAAGTCGCAGACGGGTAAAGCACCCCGGCGGCAGTGCTCTGTAAACATATATTCGAGAATTCCCAAACCAGAAACAGTGATATGATAAGACTCACGTGAAACAAGTTCAAAGCAGGATCAAAGACTTGCTTGATAGTCAATTCAAGGAATTCCTTGAACACACCATCTTGATCTATACCGGCTTCATCAAGACCCTAAAAACCTCGACAAGAATAGAAGTAGGATTAAATAATTGAGAAAGAAGTTACCTGCTGATTTACAAATTTCACTCGGATAGTAGATTTAAGTGCTCTTGTAGATAACATGGACAGCTGTCGGTACCCGTCTTCAACGAGACGATTTCGTGCCACTGTGATGAGGGTGGCCGACGATTCGATACTCGACTAAACACATCCAGGAGCATGTTCAAAACCCAAATAACTCAATCTATTAGAAAACAAGACGATTCCGAGCAGGGTGAATATCGCTTGAGGATTCCTCAACGGCACGTCGAGGATTCTCTGCCCGATCAGACACGATCTCTCGCGCGGACATTCACACTCGCCATGCGCGTGCCGTCTGTGCTCTCCGCGCGGATGTTCACTCTCGGCACTACTCTCGCATGGTAGAGAGCTATGGTCGAGGAAATCCTCGACCGTTATTCACCCTGATTCCCTCTCAGCTCTCAATAGGTGTAGGGTATTTTGAAAGAAAAACGCTGAGTAGATCTCAAAAACTAAAATGCTGTTCTAGAAAACATGGCTCACCTTATCAGCACTGACGAACTTCCTGAACAACAACATCCTTTCCTTAAGTGAAATTAAATGACTGAGTTTACGCATCAGAAGGACGCCTCTAGACGTCTTCTTCTCGAATTCTCCCATTAGCACAGAACTCTTCACGTCTCTGAACGATTGAAACGTGAATCAAGGAACTACGCTTCAAAGGACTGCAGCAATGGAGGATCACTTACGGAGCTAGCCAAAATTTCGGATCATTGACAAAAGAGCGTCGGCTGTCGCGAACATGAAGAACCATGCAAAGGGTATGTATACTCGCAAACAAACCATAATTAGAACTTCGCTCATCTAAACAGGAAATTATTCGAACACAAAATTCAGGACGCACCTTTCTAATGACCATAAGAAAACCTCACCAACTAATCCGCTCCATACGGCACGGAAGCAGAAGTAATTACAAAATCGTGCTATATGTACAAGTTCCTCTACAGGGAAAGGGACTGCACGTTCGTATAGCTCTTCCTCGTCCAAGATCCTGTTAATTTCAGCGAGTAACAAGTGACGGAAGTAATTCGGAGAACAACAAAAAATTGAGTGCATGTCGAAAACTTCAGATTTAATTTTTGCAAATTTTGTCCTTTTCTCA